GCTGCTATTGAACCACCAACAAGATCAGACACAGGCCTTTTGAAATCCGATGAGAGCTCAATCATCTAATAGCCACGTACGAAATGTCTAAAGTGTGGCCCATCGTTTTGACAAGCGTGAAGAAGATAGTAGAAGTACTGTTTCACATGGTCTCTTCAATATACCAGACGATGATGGCGATAGTGGTCACTACGAACCTGGTGAAACTCCAGACCTTGGAGAGACCAACCAAGACTCAGGTGCCTAACCAATTGTAGTGACTCCAACTCTTCACCAAGTCTAAAACATGCGAGTTCTCTACAATAATGGTCTGTATATGAGTATTAATTTTTCAGTCGTAAATTCATGATAGTGCAGCTAAACTCTTCTGATCTTCCAGCCAACGATGGTATAGATGGAAACTATCCAGAGGATAGCAGCAACACCTTCAATGATTCCACAAAAGAGAATCATGTTGGAATATCCAGATCCATTACCAATGATGGCACCACCAATTGGTAGAGAAATTAGGTTACCAAAGGCAACCAGGAAGTAGACAGTTCCATATCTTTTGCCAAAATCTTCCGTCTTACCCACAACACCACAACATACCGGTGTCAATGACATGGTTGAGCTCGAGAAGAAGCCAAAAAGACCTGCAAAGGCATACATCGTGCTTAGGTTACTTCCAAATGGCAACCAGACGACCAGAATCAAAAGCGAACAAATGGCAACACATACGCTCATAACGTTCAAGCAACCATATCTATCAGCGAGGTAATTTGGGAGAAACCTTCCAGGAATACCTGTTGCGTTCAAGATTATAGAAACAATGAATGCCTCCGACTCAGAGTAGCCCTTATCCATGGTGAATGAGGAAGTGTACGTCAAGACCAGCACAAGAGAAAATTCACATAGAAGAATGGATCCAGCTATGCACAGATACGTCTTATCCTTAACTAGATCTTGCAGCACAAATGAATCTTTGACCAGTGCTGCATTACTCTTACCATCCTTCTTTTTGAGGATTCTATGCTTGACGAGGAGACATCCAATCCCCACAAACACTGCTGATATTAGAGCAAAGATTCGCATAGACCATTGAAACTTTAGTTTTGGGAAGAGACTCTTGAATAGCAATGGCCAGATAACACCACCTAGCGAGCCACCAATGGAACAGATACCCAGTGCAGCAGCACGCTTTTTCATGAAATAATGCGAAATACAGGCAATACAACAGTTCATCAAGAAACTCGAGCCCACGCCTACGAGAACACCAAAGGCAAGCACAAACTGCCACACAGTTGTACAGCTTGCTGTTGCAAGCAGCCCACTGACCAAGAGCACCGATCCCAAGTACATTGGTATTTTCGAGCCCGTGTAGTCAAAAATTGGGCCAGCGTAAATCCCTCCAAAGAAAGAGAAGAAGAAATATACGCTAAAGATCCAGCCGACAGACGATGCGGATTCTGTTGGCAGGATATTCTCTGAAACGTGAGCCTGGACCACCCCGATTGAGGTCATCAGCCCAAAGACAATGGTGATGGAGAAGAAGCCACCAAGAACAACCAGGTTCGCCTGGAGCCCACCTTCTGGGAAGGTATCTTCGGGGAAGGGCTCTTCTGCAAGCTCCCTGGTACACTCACCGTCCTCTGTGCAACCTTTACCGGCCGTGCTTGGAGGATCTGCTGCTGTTTGGAACGAGAACAGACGTTCCTCCGTTGGCGTGAGGTCTGGATCACCAGGGACCATGAACGAGAACATTCTCTCGTCCGTAGGCGTCAGCGTGCCCACTGAAGCACAAGACTCATCAACTCCATCACCACACTTCTTACTGTGACTGTATGCTGGCTCTGCGTCGGCGTCGGAGCTTTCGCTTTTTCCCATAGGTTTGGCTGTAGATCTTCCTCTTAAGCTATACCAGATGGAATAGCAGGCAAGCAAGGAAAACCAGCAAACTGGCAGCACTCAGAGCCTCTTAAATACCCACCAACCTCCCTCAATCGCCATTGCTTCAAAGAGCGTGAAAAGTTTTTTCCAGCTAATCCAAACACCTATGCGGTCGGCCATACCTTCCTTGCATAAAGTCTGCAAGCTAAAAAAAACCTTATCGAACGGCCTGGCCATCGGGTTTCTTTTCCCTTTCCGCCCGTTTGCGAAGTTTCACCCGAGGGGCGCTCTGTCCAGGCTGGAGCCTCCAGCGGGCGTATGAGGTAGGGATAACGGCCCATCCTGCCTAGCCCAGCCCAGCATCGCCCAGCCCAGCATCGCCCAGCCCAGCCCAGCCTAGCCTGGCACCGCCTAGCCCCTCCACCAGTGGAGGGAGCACACACGACGACAGCTGGTTAGGAAGAAAAAAAACGTCTCCCCATGAGGAAAGACTCAGCGTACTCGTCGGTGGGCGGAGGGACGCTGGACGGGATTTTGCAGCTGGGACTGTGCAGGGGAGGGCTGCAACTGGCGAGCGTAACTAGTGAAGTTCGCTTCAAGCTACGCTGGGGAGGAAAGAGGTTGGTGTTGTAGCTCCACGCATGTGAGAGGCAAGGGCTTGTTTAATGAGTCACAGAGGACATTGCTGGTGGCTAAAAATAGGCGTGGTGTGTTCCTGGTAGCACCTCGTGCTTCCGCTAATGAGTTGACGGTTGTGGCTGCAAATGTGCTACAGAGGCAGATGAGCGTTGCAGAACACGCAATGGTGGGCACGCTGGTGGAAAAGGGATAAACTAGGAGGATTTGAAAGAGCTGAGGGCGCTGACTATGAAGATAAGGACCACTAACCACGACACAATGGTCCATCTCTTGTTCTGGGCATCGAGAAGTGCGAGCTAGGGCTCATATTCCGGTGGGAAAAAGGGTTTGTCGGTGCATATCGTCAACGGTGT